TCCGAAGCCTGCCCCAGCACCCAACCCAAGGCTGGGCATGGAAGAAGTGAAGTGGGTGTTTGTCACACGAGGGACCATTTACTCCTCCGGCCGACTGGGCCTGGTGGCCTTCTTTAGTCAGCATCTCCCCACAATGAGAGTCTTGTTTTGGACCACAGGCCGAACCCCCATTTCTCCCAAGTAACCAGAGGACTCCAGCCTAACTCAGGGTTCTCTGGGCCCTGGGCACGGCAGTCGCGGCCCGTGGTGGCTCAGGCTGCTGGCTGGGCTCTGATTGGAGTCCCGCCGGGGCCTGACTTGGGCAGAAGACAGAGCCCCAAGCCCTAGTGGAGACCACACAATGAAGGTGCCTGGAGACCTTCCGCAGAGTCTGTACAGCAGCCTCTGCAGAGCACCTAGCCAGGTACAGAGGCAGCTTAGTGCTCCTCATGTCAGGGGCGGGACCCTCCCCCGGCATGCAGGACACCTGGAAAGGCAGAGTTTGGTAAGGCCCCATTTTAGTGCAGCAGGGCTGGGGGGTGGGCGAGACAAGCTGCATCTTCCTGTCTGCCTCCTCGGGAGGGAGGGGACCGCACACTTTCCTTGGGTGTCTCAAGTGCTGCAGATTCTGTGTGTTCACTTTGCTCAGACACTGAATACAGTTTAATTCCCACGAAGAACCAGAGTGTGAGACGGAGGGGAGAAGGAAGGAAGGAGAGAGAGGAAAGAGGGGGAAAGGAAGGAGAGAGAGGGAGTGAGCGATAAAAGAGAGAGTAGAGAGGGAGAGGAGGAAGGAGGGAGGGAGAGGTGATAGAGGGAAGAAGGAAGGAAGGGGAAGAGAGGGAGAAAGGAGAGAAGGAAGAGAGAAGGCGAGAGAGGAGAGACGACGGGAGGGAAGAAAGAAGCAGAGAGGGAGCCCCAGCGTGGAGGTGAACCTGGGGACCCTGCAATGGGCAGTTAGAGAACTGCTCTCTGGAAAGCAGAGCTGCTGGCCCAGAGCAGGATCAGAACTGCAGCACCCCAAGTTAGGGTACGAGGTTGGCCGGTGCTGTGGGGTGCAGAGAGCGGCCAGGTGCACTGTGTGTGTGCAGTGCATGTCTGTGGCGTGTGCGTGCGTGCATGTGTGTGGTGTGTGTGCGGCGCGTGTGTGCAGTGCATGTCTGTGGCGTGTGTGTGCGTGCATGTGTGTGGTGTGTGTGCGGCGCGTGTGTGCAGTGCATGTGTTTACCCCCAGCCTCCGCAGGACCTGTCCCACCACGTACCTAGTTTCTTAGACTATCATTCAGACTCTGCATGCCTTTAATGGCACTTGCACTTTTTTAAAGCTCTGTGCTATTTACTTCTGTTTTCCCATCTTCGTGGACTGAGAAGGGTTGGCACGAATGATTCGCGTCGTGATGAAGAGAACAAGGTGCAGTCCTGACCAATAACATTGTCGGCTCAGAAGCTCGGAGGACGCAGCCTTCCTGACTCCGATCCGGGGCTGGTTCCCGGCCCACCTACGAACTGAACCGTTATCAGCTGGGGCAGGCAGGCAGCCTCCACGCTCTAGCACCTCGGTGTGAGGGGCCTGTGGCCACGGTGCCCTCTGTAACCAGACACTGGGCCCCACACCCTCCAGGGCACCGGGCGGAAGAGGCTGCATGGCCGCCCTCACTGTTTGTTATTTCACCCTGGACTTGGCAAGGATGGAAGTTGTCGATTTACAATTAGAAGCAGCATGCTTCTTCAAATATTAATATTAATAACTACAATGCTGAACACATGAAAAGGCCTTTTCATCTTCAAAGCACTTTGCAGACATTAACTCCTTAGCCCCCCTCCCTCCACGGGGGAGAACAGGTAAGTGAGAGTCCGCAGCGGGCCCCCAGCACCCCCTCCCTGCTGCAGTGGGGTTGCTCTTAAGCGAAAAGCAGAGGAAGCCATCCAGAGCCACAGCTGAGGAATCACATGGAACGGCCAGCGTCACTGGATGTTTTTCCAGTCTCATGGCAGTGGTATGAAGTAGGGGAAATGGCCTTGAGATTAAAAAATAAATAAATAAATAAAAATTCTTATCCAGAAGTTTCTAAGGAAAACCCACAATCGAATGTCTCAATTGGATAGAAATGACCCCGCGTCGTTTTGAACAGTTTGCCCAAGAAAATGCGGGTTAAAGAAAGTGGCACGCACGCGCGACAGGGGAGGGAAGGCAGAGTCCGAGCCAGGCTACACTGAGTCGCCGGGGAGATCAGCTGTCATCCCGGTCCCTGCTGTGCCCAAGTGCCTCTGAAGTCCAGCCGAGAGTGGAGGGAAGAAACACCGCGACTCTGAGAGTCCCTGAGCACACGTGCACACGCGCGCGTGCACACACACACACACTGTGTCCCAACTGCAGTCCAGATGACTGACAGAGGCTTGGAGAACTGAATCGCAGATGGGGAAAAACACCCAACAGGCTAGTCTGGCTGGTGGGATTCCAACCTGAAAAACTCGCTCTCCGTAGAAGCAATCCATGAAGCGGCTAGCCCGACAGAAAGGAGGACAGGACAGGCTGACTAGGAGTGAAGGAGAAGGGAAGAAATTCCTGTGCTGAGCTACAGCCTCTGCCTTTGGAGGTGCTCCAAGCTGCAGAGAAAATTCAGAGTTCCTGACAAGTCGCTGTGAGTATCTGAGGCGTGCCGCTTTTATGAAGCAGGCAGAGACTGAAAGTCTTGATTTCAGACTGGCCTGACGAGGTTAGGAGGCATTTTAAAATGGTTAGTAATCCACCGGGGCATGGAAAGAAGTGAAAAAGAGAAAGAGAAAAGCACTGGTGCCCTGGTCCCACGACATGTCCTTCACTCTGCGGAACCGAGGGGAGAGGCAGGGAGAGGAAAGCGGCTGGGAAGCTGCAGGCAGGACCTCGGGCTTCACTTACTGCTTTGCTGCAGAGACAGAGACGGGTGAAGGCGGGTGCAGGTCCCCAGCGAGCTGAGCAGCCCTCCAGGTCTGTGGTCTCTTTCCAACTACCTGCCAGAACCCTCTGCGGGTGGCTAAAGAGGATGCAGAAACCATAATGTTTCTAATAGAGCTGCCTCCTGGAATTGGGGGTGTGGTTCCGCGGAGGAAAGCCTGGAAAGGCGGCCTTCCGCCAGCCCTGCCACTAGGCAGCCTCCTCAGGACGGCCGGGTCAAGGTGGGACGCAGTAGAGCAGTAGGTCCTGCCTCCGCCCCAGCCGCGGGAGCAAGGGCCGAGCAGAGGAGCTGGCCGCCCTGACCCTTCCTCCACAGAGCCCCGCTGACCCGGGCCAGAGCTCGGGGGAGGAAGACTACAGCTGCCTGGAACCAGGCCTGGGACTGTGAGCAAGAGGGTCCACTGGCTGCTCGGCTTCCTGGCTCTCCTGGTGTGAAGTTCAAGGTTTTCTTTTTTCTTTTTTCGGAGAGTGATTTTGCTATAGGACACGTACATTTGCCAGAGAGACAGAGACAGAAAGTGAGAAATCACCCCGCCAGGCAGGATGGCCACACTGAAATCCTTTCTCCTCCATTCTCCTCTCAGGATTTTGGGCACACGCGTCCGGCCTGAGTTGTAAGTCACCAGTTCTGGGACTCAAACCATGGTCAACTAGTGGGAGTGCAGCAATGTAACCATTGTGCCATCTGCTGGCCCCAAGTGCGCTGTTGTCGAAGGAAAAGAAAAGGGTTATATGGATGAGAGCTGACCGGGAGGCAAGAGCGCTGACAGGGAGCTGGGGTCTCTCAAGACCAAACTTGAGTCTCCTTCTCCTTCCAAGCCCGTTCTAGACGTCTCTAACGCAGACTGGCTGTAGCCTGAGGCAGGAAACAGGGCTCAGGCTGTGGCAGTATCGGAACTCCGCACTGCGGGTCAGACAGCCAGGGGGCACGGCCACTGCGGAAAACGGTCTGTCGGGTAACTGTGAAGTCGTCACGTGACCCCGGCACTGCGGCTCCACGTGGATAGCACCGCAGGTGGAGGCCAGACGCCAGCAGACATCGGAGCCCCAGGGCCGTGGCAGCACCGGCCCAACCGCCGGAAGGAGGACACAGACGACACGCCTGCCCCCACGTGCACAGGTCGCTGGGACGTGGTGCACACAGCAGGCTTACTCAGCCCTGAAACAACGCGATTCCAACACATACTGCAACAGGGACGGACCTCGAAGAGGTTGTGTTAAACGAAGTAAACCAGGCGCAAAACAACAAAACTTGTATAAGGCGTCCGGAATAGTGAGATTTTCAAAAAGGAGTTTTCGTTTGTTTGCCAGAGGGCTCGTGCACTCACCTGAGGAGAAAGAGAGCGAGGGAAAGTGAGAAATCACCCTCCCTGGGGAGCGGAGCCGCGATCCCCCCTCTTCATTCTCCTCCAGGGTTTGGGGCACACAAGTATACACACGTGCCTGGAGTGTGTTTCAAGCCACTGGCTCCAGGACTCGAATGGCATAGCGGCCTTAACCAGCAAGCCGCCAGCCGGCCCAAGAACAGTGACATTTACAGAGGTCAGCAGTGGGGGGAGGACACGGGGAGGGGGTTAGTCGCAGCTGGGTGGGGCTGGTGGTGAGGATGCCGCGCCACGCGGGTGTACCCCGCCACCTAAGGACACGCTGGAAAGTAGTTAGGGTGATACATTTTATAATATGCATATTTTACCACAGTGAACAAACGCACTGTCCCACAGAAAAGGGCACGTGTGGTATTAGGGAAGCAGTCTCTGCAGAGGGGCCTTCGGCGTCCCCGGGCACAGGCCACAGCGAGGCGCCTCTGGGTGGGGGGCGTCCAGGGCGAGCACAGGAGACCTCGTGCATGGCAGCTTCTCGGAGCTGCAGGTATGACGTCTCTCGAAGACGGGGCCCGCTTCGTGGGGGCTGGGCCACCCTCCAGTGGACGCCTGCGTACACGGCATGCGGGAAGGATGTTCTATGATGGTAAATTCTCTGAGGAAGAGCCTCAGTCTAGATACCGTATAAGAGGGACTTCAAAACTTTGTAAGAAATACATACGAGAATTAAACTATGAATTTAGGGGCCAGACGGTGGCGCAACAGCAAAGTGTGATGCTCTGCTAGGCAATCCCACGTGGAAGGTTGCTGGTTCGAGTCCGGAGACCTCCATGGGAGGCAGAGCACTCGTGGGTGGGGCGGGCTGAGGCGAGGGCTGGCTCACCCATGGAGGTCTGTGGGAGTGCCCTCTCCCTCTCTCTCCCTCTCTCTCCCTCTCTCCCTCTCTCTCTCTCTCTCTTTGTCTCTCTCTCTCTCTCTCTCTGAAGAAACAACCAAGTAAAGTTTACTCTGATGGAAATAATGTTGAAATCGACATATAGATTTTTCATAACATGAATTTTCCACTAAGTTTTGAAAGTCATTCATGTGTTAAGTCTCAAAAACAAACAAACAAACACACACACGAAGAAAAAAAGAAAGTCCAGACCTGGAGACTTGTGTGTCTTTGACGCCCATGGAAAAGACCTGTGCAAAAACGCGCCGCCAGCTTCTCTGAGGGAGCGTCTAGACACGGCCGGGCGGGCCGGATAAGTCCTACGGAAGCCGCTCGCCCTCCCTGCTGTGAGGAAGCCTCGTGCTTTTTCCCAGCACCACGATCTCGTATGAGGAAGACGGACATGAAAGGGCAGACTCAGCTGCGAGGGTCATCACCGCCTCTCACTCCCACCCAAATGCAGGGTGCTTTAACCCAATCTCCAGACACGCGCAGCGTCCTCGGGGATGGAGAGCGGGCTGAATTTGAGAAGCAAAGCAGGTTCTTGTGGGGGAGCGTCTAGACACGGCCGGGCGGGCCGGATAAGTCCTACGGAAGCCGCTCGCCCTCCCTGCTGTGAGGAAGCCTCGTGCTTTTTCCCAGCACCACGATCTCGTATGAGGAAGACGGACATGAAAGGGCAGACTCAGCTGCGAGGGTCATCACCGCCTCTCACTCCCACCCAAATGCAGGGTGCTTTAACCCAATCTCCAGACACGCGCAGCGTCCTCGGGGATGGAGAGCGGGCTGAATTTGAGAAGCAAAGCATTAGCTCTCATTGCGCTTTACACACCTTCCTGCCTTCAGAAGGGCTTTCCAGATGGCTGCAGTATCTCTTCAAACTATGGAAACCCAGCGGGACAAATTCCAGATACCGCTAGAAGCACAAGTCACCAAGTATCCAAGAGGCCCCGGAAGATAAGATGAAAGGAGAGCAAGGAGCGGCCGTCTGCCCGCTCTGGGACTCCCGATCCTGCACTTTGTAAGGAGCCTGCGTTCCACTCCCCATCGTCAAATGCCATGCTCACGGCCCCAGCTGCGGACGGAGCTACAGAGCTCACCGGCCAGCCCACATCTGGCTCCCAGGTGCCGTCCGGTGTGGCTGGGCATGGTCCTCCAGACAGGACCCAGAGATGTTGCCACACTGTGTTCACACCACGCCTCCGCCTTGCCCCCAGTCTCTACAGTGTGGACTGGGTTGCGACAGGGCCCCAGCGTCCCGCAGAGCAGCTTAGACAAGGACTGTCAGGGTGCTTCTCCGTCCCGTCCACTGGGCCTGCTGAGCCCCCAAACACGGAGGTTCCGAGGCAATGGGCTGTCACAGGCTCTGCCGCCCCCCAGAAGCCCCACCTTTCATCACCTCCTTCCTTGACCTGTGTTCCTCTCTCTGCTCTTGGTCCCTCTGTCCTCCTGGGCCCTTCTTACCCCTTCTGTCCATCTAACTCCTACAAGGCTTGTGTCTAAGTTACTTACAAGGGGATACGGGGTAGCATGCTCACACCATACAGAAGGCTGCGGATTCAAAACGGGGTCACCAACCCTACCCACTTTTCACCCAGCTCACAGCAAAAGGTGGCCTTCTGCTAGGGTGACGGGGGCCCCAGCACTCTTGGCTTCAGTCCAGACACCAGGCCTTTCTCCAGCCTGCGGAGCTGCATTGTGCTGCACCTTGCTGGTTTGGTAGCGTATCCACCAGCACTGTGGGAGGCTGCACACCAGCGAAGATAGCCAGTTTCTCAGAAAGCAAACAATTACACAATGCCAAAAGCCATGATTGGCTTCCCTTCAAAACCTCACCTTCAAAACCATACTCTGATTGGCCACTAGAATCCCTCAGATTTGCATACCCGGCACCTCATGATTGGTCCACAAAGCAACCAATCATAACCCACCTTTTACAACCAATCATAACCCACCTTTTACAACCAATCACGGCCCACCAACATGTATATAACCACGATCGCTGGCCCACAATCTCCAGACGACCCTGAAGAGCCTGAAGAGTTGTAACACCACGTTGTCTCCAGACGACCCGGACGACCCTGAAGAGCTGTGGCACCGCGTCATCTCCGGAGACCTTGAAGAGTTGTAACACTGGGTCGTCTCCATGCTGCCCACAATAAATGGACGACCCTGAAGAGTTGTAACACTGCGTCACTCGTCCCAGCTCTCACTCCTTCCCTCAGGAAACCTGTTCGACTGTCCCCCCGGGTCGGGACACAGGACCAGCATTTTACGGGCCCCTTGCAAGACACCCCACTCATTTGAGCGGCCCCAGTCATCCTCCGGGCCTTTCACCAGCTCCTGCTCTGGTCCCCCTCCTTGTGTCTCCCGGCCGGCTCTGCCCTGCACGTCTTCACGGGCCTGTCTTCCTGTCCCTGCGTCTCACGGTGGGCTGGGGCTGTCTCCCCACGTTCTCTCCCCGACTGCGGCGTGATGCTCAGAGGGGAGGTCTGTGCTTCCGATGCTCACTTACCATCGACAGTCACACGCAGTGCCTCCCAGCACACCCCGCGAACGTCACTGAGCTGAGTAAGATGAAGTCGTGCCTCAGCCCCTCAAAATATATCATGTCCGGAGACTTCAGTAGGGAAAAGACACATTATGATAATCTATTTGTGGATGTCAACGTTGTCCACATCAAAATAAACTCTACTTTAATTCCATTTTCCTATGATTTTTTTGAAACCCCTTCACATAGCATGATGACATTTTTATGATCTAAAAACGTGAATCACCTAAGTATTACGTGAACCCATTTCTGGTGGTCGGAGAGAGAGT